GTCTAAGCTAAACATCTGGATCAAACAATATGCTAAAAATAGCTTAGAGTTCTGATACTATCATCCCAAAGAACATACCCACCTGGAACCTCAGAAAGAGTTCTAATTAAAAAGTGTCTTGAATATGCAATTCAGTTAAAAACAGGTTGTGTGGATTATAAATTCAAAAACTGGTAATTCTTTCAGAGGAGAGAATTCAGAAAAAACACAGAGGAGGCCATATGAAGATGGAAGAAGAAATCTTAATAAACAAAATAGCACTGCACTGTAGCACTGTCCTCCCATTGTTCATTGATTTGCCTGAGTGGGCACCAGTAATGCCTCCATTGTGAGACTTGTTGTTACTGTTTTTGGCATATCGAATACATCACAGATAGCTTGTCAGGCTTTGGTGTGTGGGTGGGATACTCTCAGTAGCTTGTCGGGCTCTCTGAGAGGGATGGAGGAGTCGAACCCAGGTCGGCCACGTGCAAGGCAAATGTCCTACCTGCTGTGCTATAGCTCCAGCCCACAAAAAAAGTATATAAGGTAAAGGTAAAGGCCCTCCCGTTGATCGTCGATTTTGCTCGAGCGGGCCCAGTAATGTCTCCATTGGAGACTTTGTTGTTACTGTGTCTGGCATATCGAATACTCTCAGTAGCTTGCCGGGCTCTCCGAGAGGGGCGGAGGAATCGAACTCGGGTCGGCCATGTTGGCCGCTTGTAAGGCAAACACCCTACCCGCTGTGCTATCGCTCCAGCCCTGTGCTATCGCTCCACATATATATACATATATATATATATATATATATAATACATATGTAAAATAAAAACTTCTTTACACTTATACTTTGTTTACATTTTATGGGTAATATAGTTTATAAAGGCTAAAATGGAAGTTTGGAAATTAAATAACTAGAATGATCAGTTGTAGCAGGATCCAAGAAAGGAGATATGTATTTCAAAATATGGTTATTCTGCATACTGTCAAATTACAAATGTTGAGAAATATTTTAAAAATGTCACCTTTTACTTTGCTTTAATTTTCATAGTTTTACATCTGCCTGTAACATAATCACATACATGCATATATGTACTACATTACATGCATGTATTATATTCTGTGTTCAAGTGTTTGCTTTGTAATCCTCTGTACGATGTAAAAGCTCTAAAATATTATGTTAACCATACATCGATTTTATTATCAGAAAAAAATCAAGAGTTATTTTTGGAAAGGGGTTAAAAATGACATTAAAAATAGGGGTTAATTAAAAAATGTCAATACAAATTACACTAAGAGGGTGGGGGGAAATAAAAATAAAGTGGTGTTTTCAGGATGCACTAGAATTCCTGGTGAAGCAAAAAAAAAAAAAAGTGTTATTTCCAAGGCTGTTTAGATGGACTGTGTTCTTGCAGGTTTCTTTCCTTTAGAATCACCAAGAGAATGAATTTCTGTTGCTCTGAGTCACTACACTTGTGGCACTTTATTTCAAGAGTCTTTTAGGGATCTTAGACTCTAAAGAGAAGGGTTATAACAATTTTGAAATAAAAATACAAATTAAATAGAATATCCAGCTGAAAGAGTTACTTATTTCTTAGAAATAATAAATTAATAAAGAATAATTGTAAAAGTGAGAAGTTGTATTGGATGTATTTGAAAACATCTCTGGCTTTTTTGACACAGGGCATAAAGTGATTCCAATCGTAATCCTATTCATCTGCAGGCAGGCATGGCAATCCATTTTCAGAATCTCTGAAGGATTCCATCACATTATGAAATATCTCATCATCTCCTATTGACTGGATTTAATGAAGCCAGATGATAGAATAAAATATGTAGAGATATTCATAGCTACAAAAGTTAAGCTTTAATGGGACATTTTTCTTAAAGTTTATTTGGATTTTAACCATACCAATGATTACTGACCTTTTTCCTTATTAATATCCTTTTTCTTCCATTAAAACCCCATCTAGAATCTAGATGTTACCTTTAAAATTACATATGTACCTATATTCATTTATCCTAGCACAGTGGTAGGGCATTTGTCTTGCATGTGGCCGGCCTGGCCAACCAGAGTTCAATTCCTCAGCCCCTCTCGGAGAGCCCGGCAAGCTACTGGATACCGAGAGTATCTTGCCCGCATGGCAAAGCCTGGCAAACTCCTCGTGGTGTATCTGATATGCAAAACATAGTAGCAACAAGTCTCACAATGTAGACATTACTGGGCCCGCTCAAACAAAATGATTAATAACGGGAGGACAGTGATTTATTCAATAATACAAAGCATAGACATAGATAAGGTAATTTATTATCAAAATATTTGTATAAGGTATGTCTTAGAGAAGGGAGAAAAAAAGTGGTGCTCAGTGAATCTATTAGCAATTGTTGGTCAACTTGGTCAGCATTTAAATGTCATACCACTAGCATGTTGGGTTATTCAGGCCCTGAAGTGCTTGATATTACCTGCTGGTGCTTAGGGTCCCCCAAGTCTACAACCAGTGATGCTCAGGGGACCATATACTGTTGGGCATCAAACCAGTATTAGCTGCAAAAAAATTATGCATCATAGCTGCTGTTCAATTATCTGTTTCCTTAACCTTATCCTTTTCTTGTGAAAATTTAAAATTGTAGTATTTAAGGGAAAGTAATCTAAAACATCAAGGACTCAGCATCAATTTGAGAAAATAATTGGTGACATATAGATATTTACAACTTCATGCTCTATAAGTGCAATACAGCAACTTTTGCACCTACTCAAATTTTGTACCTATTCAAGTGACAGATAAACACATACCAAAGTTGAGTGTATATTTTTATATATATAGACTATATACTATATACTGTGTGTATATATATAGAGAGAGAGAAAGAGAGAGAGAGAGAAGGTTCTTAGAATGTCTAAGGTTTATTTAACTAAATGAAAAAAAAAGGAAAAATATGTTTTCTTTACATACCATTCACTTTTTTGAAAGCCTATTATACATTGAAAGCCAAGAGATATCTTAAATATTAAAAATTCCTAGAAACCAGATGTTAACAAAGAAGGAAAAAATTTAAGACATTTATCTTCATATGTGAATAAATGATGGCTGTTCTTAAATAACAATCTCTTTTCCTGTTAAAATTTTCCCCATTACCAATGTAGACATAACCATCAAAAAATTCAAGTCTGACTCGATATTATCTTTACACATATATTTTTCTCCTTTACCCTTTCTTTTAATTAATGTATTTGATTAATTTTTGTTTGTTTGTTTGTTTTGTGGCAGTATTTCTTTTGACTTTGAAGATTCTTTTTTTTTTTTATTTCGAATACCCATCCCTCCACCAGCGCCCATTAAACCCTGCAGGTAAAAAATCTCCTAAGCTGAATCCATAAAATGTTGTTGGCATTGATTTTCAATTTTTTTGGGGGGGTTAGTTTAGTTTTGTTTTGTTTTCATATGTTTGTGTTTTGGGCCACACAAGTTAGTGCCCAGATACCACTCCTGCTCTGTACTCAGAGATCACTCCTGGATGGGTTCTTTGTACCTTATACAGTGCTGGGAATCTAACACAGGTTGGCCATAGGCAATGGTGGTACCAAACATCCTTGGATACAAAATGATCTTATTTTAGTTTATAGCTCAATTTTGAAAAAGTTTTCTTTTCTTAAATTATGATTTTTTATTCAAAGAAAGCAGGGTTTATATAATTTCAATCCAATAAACACTTAATGTGTACTAATTGATAATTTTTGTTTGTAATAAGTAATTATTTGATTTAGGTAATTTTAAAAACCATTTATTTTTAAATTTTTTTATTGAATCACCGTGAACTACAGTTATGAAACTTTCATATTTGAGTTTCAGTCATACAATTATCGAATGCCCATCCCTCCACCAATGTACATCTTCCACCACCAATGTCCCCAGTAACTCTCCTTTCCCCCAAGTCCCACGTGCCCCCAACTACGGCAGACAATTTCACTCTTACTCTTTCTCTACTTATGCTTCCAACCATGGAAGAACAATCTTTTAAAAAATACGTTATAAAATGTATGTGACTATATTTATATAAATAAACTTATAGAGAAAAAAATAAGAAAAAGGAGAAAGGGAGCTTGATGACATAATTATTTTCTGGATTAAAAATAAATCATAATCATCGGATTTATCCAATAGGAGAATCATGACTTCTTCATGGTTTAATAGTTCAAATTAATTATATCAAAATTAAAAAGAAAAGAAAAACTCATGAAGAAATGTTATCAAATATATATGTTATTGACAAGATAAAAAAATATTTATTTTTCATTTTTACACTAGTCCAAATATTATTATTATTATTATTACTTCACATGTGCAGTGTTGTTACATCATGCTCAGTACTTGATATCAAGATTGTTGTTACTCCATTGTTACTCCACAATCCCTTTCCCACTTAAAGTTAATATATTTATAAAGTTCTAATATTTCAAAGGTTCTAATGAGCTCTTTAATTCTCCTGGACCAAGAATGGAATCTTAAGCCTCACATATTCAAGTTCAGCAGCAAATCCTCACATATTCAAGTTCAGCTTTGCTGCTGAACTACATCCCAGATATTTGAAAAGTTATAAAGAAAACATTTACTGACCATTTATGATCAAACTATATTGAAGATTATACCAAATAGTATATTATAAAATGGCTATAAAATAAAATTAACGGAACTAGCTACCTTTTCATATCTATTTCTTTTAACTTAGTAGAAAGATATATAAGGAAGAAATTTAATACTAATATTTAATACTAGGCTGAGAAGAACAGAATTAAAAGGGAAAATAAACAAAATATATGAAATAATATTAAAATGCATATTAAAAGCAGGACTCATTAAATAATTTCTTAAAACTCCTAATTCTAAGCATCATAATTTCTCTCTGTTATGCATAAACAAAAGCTTAATTTTCTTGTCTTCAGGGCTCAAAACTTGGGTTAAATCTATACATTTATTTATTCTCTGACTTATATAAAGTCTACCTAAAAATATAAATCTTACCTCATTTTGGAGATCTCGGATCATTTTGTTCTTCCTTTCCAATTCAGACTTTAAAAAAACGATCTAAAAATGAATAGAACATTATATATACATATTTCAGTTTTGTTTCTCTGTTTCATGATTTTTTATTATTATTGAGGTATAATAAAAAGATTGTTTTATTAAATAATACTGAGAACAAAATACTAATATTTTCAGTAATAAAACATCTTCCTCTATGTCATACATAATTCAATGATTATACATCTCAAGATATGACTCCATATTTCCATATTCCTATGACTCCATATTTCTGAGCCATATATATAACTCTGCAAGCAGCCAGCCCGGCCGAGCTGGGTTCAATTCCTGCACCCTTCTCGGAGAGCCTGGCAAGCTGACAAGAGCTTCTTGCCCGCATGGCAAAGCCTGGCATGATGTATTTGATATGCGAAACACAGTAACAAGTCTCAAAATGGAGACGTTACTGGCCCCGCTTGAGCAAATCAATAAACAATGGGAGGACAGTGACAGTGACAGTGACAGATAACTCTGTATCTTCATGTCTAAAATCATATATACCTACAATTCATTCACTGGAAAAACATTTTTACTAAACTATTTTTAATTATAAAAGCAAAGCATATATAGTATAGCTGTGATGCTTTCAATTCTAAAACTTATTTTTAATATACTTTTTATTGAGTAATAATTTTAGCATGGAATGGTTTACAAATTTCATAACTGATATTACTTTATAAATATATCTTTAAAAGTTAATGTGTCTTCTACTTATAGTAAACCCAGTTTAGGATAAACATGTTATATCTGAAGCTCTTGCAAATAATAATTATGTATGAAACATTTAGGGCTGGAGCGATGGCACAGCGGGTAGGGCGTTCGCCTTACAAGCGGCCAACATGGCCGACCCGAGTTCGATTCCTCCGCCCCTCTCGGAGAGCCCGGCAAGCTACTGAGAGTATTCGATATGCCAAACACAGTAACAACAAAGTCTCCAATGGAGACGTTACTGGGCCCGCTCGAGCAAATCGACGATCAACGGGAGGGCCTTTACCTTTTACCTTTTTATGAAACATTTAGTCTTAAAGGACCCCTTGGAACTGTTCAAAATACATCGGTAACACAGAGTACCACTGGAGATAGTTTGCATCCATGTACATTAAGATCAGAAGTAATGATAATTTTCACCATGTATATTATTTATGGTTTAATAGCCCTAATTAATTGTGTTTTAAAATGAAATAAGGTTAAACTTGAAATAGAAACTTTACAAAATATAGGTTTTCTTACAATCTAGAGAAATGGAAAAAAATAATAGAGTAAATTATAGAGACTTTATAATATTTGAATGGCCATACTGAATTTTTCCTATGGTCTAAAACACTGATTTTAAAACAAATTATGTAAAAAAACAAGAACTTATACGTAAAATTATCTATGAATCCAATGCTAAAAATCAACACATGAAAGCCTTTAACCTATTTTTTTCCAAAGTTCAAAAAAAAGTTTAATTTTTTCAAATTTTTCAAAATTTCCTCTTAGAAAAAAGAAAATTTTATACATGATATTCCACCCCTTACATTTTTTCTTATTTTTATCTTGACTAATGTAACCAATCACTACATCAATATAATACTTATTAATATTATGCAAGTGTTTGTACATATTTCTTATTGTGTATTAAGTATTTATGCCCCCATTGTATTTTCCGTTTATTTAGTTTTCTTGGAGTGTGATTACAAAAATTAGTAATGAAAACAATTGCTATCAACCATACTATGCATACCTGAAAACCCAAGGAAACTGAGGAAGTACATATGAAACTACACATAAAAATAACATGATTACTAGAAGGCTTGATTTGGATATATATAAACATTCATATTAGTTTGAAATTTGCACTCATTTATTGAATAAAAAAAATGTATGGTCTACTTTCAACATGCATCTCCCCTCCTGGGAGGATCCTCCAAACACCCTTTATTTGGTGTTCCCTTCTCTATCTGAGCTGCCCTTTCCTCTAGAATGCCCGACTGGCCACTAAGCTATGGAGTAATCCTCCTGGTGCTGATCTCAGCTATTCTTGGGTATTAATCTCATATTTTGTTACTTTATATCCCCCAGATGAATGCAATCTTTCTATGTCTATCCCTCTCTTTCTGACTCATTTCGTTTAGCATGATACTTTCCATGTTGTACCACTTGTATGTAAATTTCATGACTTCATCTTTTCTAACAGCTACATAGTACTCCATTGTGTAGATGTACCAAAGTTTCTTTAACCAGTCATCTGTTCTTGGGCATTCAGGTTTCTTCCAGTTTCTGGCTATTGTAAAGAGTGCTGCAATGAACAAACAAGTGCAGATGTCACTTCGACTATACATTTTTGCCTCTCTGGGATATATTCCCAGGAGTGGTATTGCTGGGTCAAATGGGAGCTCAATTTCTAATTTTTTGAAAATCGTCCATACTGTTTTCCAGAAGGGCTGAACCAGTCGACATTCCCACCAACAGTGAAGGAGTGCCCCTTTCTCGCCACATCCGCGCCAGCATCAGTTGCTTTTGCTCTTTTGAACGTGGGCCAGTCTCATGGACTGAACATGATTGCCACTCAATGCCTCTTTTGCAAACTACAACACCCAAAAGGAGAGAGAGAACACAGGGGATTGTCCTGACAGAGAGGCAGGGGGGGATGGGGGGATGCGGTTGGGGGGGATACTATCCATGGTGGTGGAAAATGGGCACTGGTGGAGGGATGGGTATCTGATCATTGTATAATCAAACCCAAGCACAAAAAATTGTAAATCTACAACTGTACCTCATGGTGTTTCACTAATAAAAAAAGAAAAATAAAAAAGAAAAAAAAAGAAAAAAATGTATGAGACTAATATCCCAGTCCATGAAAAGCAGGGGCCAGAAGACCTGATCAACGGTTGGAAACTTGCCACAAGTGTTCTATGAGCAAAGGGCAGTTAGGATAGAGAAGGGACCAATATGACAATAATAGTTAGAAATGATCACATGGAACAAGAACCGAGTGTTGAAAGTAGGTAAAGGTATACACATAACCTTTCAGTATCTGTATTGCAAGCCATAATGCCCTAAAGAAAAGAGAATGGGAGCCAGACAAAGAGAAAGACAGAAAGAGAGAGAGGGGGGAGAGAGAGAGATACAAAGAGAGAGGGAGAAAGGGAGAAAGTGAAAGAGACAGCAGAGAGAGAGAGAAAGAGAGAGAGAGAGAAATGCCTGTCATAGAGGCAGGAAGTCAGTGGTGGGGGTGAGGGATGGAAGGGAAATTTGGAACATTGGTGGTGGGAAATGCATACTGATGAAGGAATGGGTGTTGAAACATATGACTGAAACTCAATCATCAACAACTTTGCAACTATATATCTCACTGTGATTCAATTAAATAAATAAAATTTATGATGATACATGACACACAAAACCTGTTTCATTTATTGCCTCTTTAGCAACAAAGTTCAGAGTGTTTTATAAAACAAACTCTCACTGATCATTATGACATTAATAAACAAACAGTCATGAAAAGTAAGAATTTGCACTCCAATAAACTACTCTTAGTAACTTTCCATCTAAGTAATTTACTATTAAAAATTACGTTACAGATTTTTCTTTACATCATCAACAATGTAAAACATTTTGCCTGTTAATATCCTATTTTTAAATTAATACCAAAATCTTCCTGTATCCATACACTTTTGTTTAATTTAGCATATGGTATTCATACGCTCCAGCCCTCATAGTTAACAAATATATTTTTATTTTTTTCCTTTATTTATTTTTTATAGACATAAATTTTTGTGCTTGAGTTTCAGTTATACAATGATCAAGTACCTATTCCTCCACCAGTGCACATCCTCCCCCACCACGGGTCCCAGCATCCCTCCCACCCCCCATCCCCCCCCCCGTCCCACCCTGCCGCTGTGGCAGGGCATTCCCCCTTGTTCTCTCTCTCTTCTTTTGGGTACTGTGTTTTGCAAGAGAGGCATTGAGTGGCAATCATGTTTGGTCTATAGACTACTTTTAGCATGTCTCTCCCACCCTGGGAGGGTCTTCACAACACCCTTTATTTGGTGCTCTCTTCTCTATCTGAGCTTCCTTTTCACCTAGCACATGTGGCTGGCCTTAAAGTCATGGAGCAAAATTCCTGGTACTAATCTCAGCCATTCCTGGGTGTTAGTCTCCTGTTTTGTTGCTTTATGTTCCCCAGATGAATGCAATCTTTCTGTGTCTATCCCGCTCTTTCTGACTCATTTCGCTTAACATGATACTTTCCATGTAGTACCACTTGTATGTAAATTTCATAACTTCATCTTTTCTAACAGCTACATAGTACTCCATTGTGTAAATGTACCAAAGTTTCTTTAACCAGTCATCTGTTCTTGGGCACTCAGGTTTTTTCCAGATTCTGGCTATTGTAAAGAGTGCTGCAGTGAACAAACAATTGCAGATGTCACTTCGACTATACCTTTTTGCCTCTCTGGGATATATTCCCAGGAGTGCTATAGCTGGGTCAAATGGGAGATCAAATTCTAATTTTTTGAGAATCGTCCATACTGTTTTCCAAAAGGGTTGGACCAGCCGGCATTCCCACCAGCAGTGAAGGAGGGTCACTTTCTCGCCACATCCGTGCCAGCACCTGTTGCTTTTGTTCTTGTGGATGTGGGCCAGTCTCTGTGGTATGAAATGATATCTCACTGTTGTTTTGATCTGCATCTCCCTGATGATTAATGATGTAGAGCATTTTCTCATGTGCCTTTTTGCCATTCGGATTTCTTCTTTGCGAAAGTTTCTGTTCATTTCCTGGCCCATTTTTTGATGGGGTTGGGTGATTTCTTCTTGTGTAGTTTAACCAGTACCTTGTATATCCTTGATATCAACCCCTTGTCAGGTGTGTATTTGATGAATATTCTTTCCCATTCTGTAGGCTGTCTTTGTATTTTGGTCACTGTTTCTTTTGAGGTGCAGAAGCTTCTTAGTTTAAGATAGTCCCATTTGTCTATCTCTGTTTTCACTTGCTTGGCCAGTGGCATGGCATCTTT